TTCCCACCCCCCCGCACAGGCTACATCCCGCTCGCAGCTCAGACACGATGCCACTCGCTCACCATCTCCCGGTGCGTTTGCAGGTGACCGAGGGACCCCAGCGGGAGCAGGGGGGACCGGACCATCATGGCACACCCCATCTCAGCCTTCCAGGCTGCCTACATCTCTATCGAAGTCCTCATCGCTTTGGTATCCGTGCCGGGAAATATCCTGGTCATCTGGGCTGTGAAGATGAACCAGGCTCTGCGGGATGCCACCTTCTGCTTCATTGTCTCTCTGGCAGTGGCCGACGTGGCCGTGGGGGCTCTGGTCATCCCCCTGGCCATCATCATCAACATCGGACCYCAGACGGAGTTTTACACCTGCCTCATGGTGGCCTGTCCCGTCCTCATCCTCACCGAGAGCTCCATCCTGGCACTCCTGGCCATCGCCGTGGATCGATACCTGCGCGTGAAGATCCCCGTCAGGTAGGAAAACGTGTCGGGACCAGCTCTGTTGCAGAGGTTAAAAGGGAGTGAGGAAGCTCCAAACTCTTGGAGAAGCACTGGGAGAAAGGACTTTCCACCACACATCTGGCTGCAGTAGCAATGGGGGCAGGCTGAGCTAGGGAGCCACTGGAGCCTCCAGCAGCTTCTTTTGGGGGTTCAGGGGTGCTGGGTGTGCAGGCAGACATCACATCCCTGCTGGCTGGCAGGGAGGGACAGTCCTTCCCGGGAWCCCTGTAGCCAGGACAAAGTGTATCCCCACACATGGGAGAGCCCCAGCTGGGTGCTCCAGGGAGTGGAAAGGGGACGACAAGTTTGGCTTTCAGCCCAGGTGTTCCCTTACCACGAGGAGCCCAGGGGTGGCTTGGTCATGGACATGTGGGACACAGCTTTGGGGGTTTGAGGACTAGAGGGGACAGACTGGCACATTTCATGGGGCAGCCTCACCCCTGCTATGGGGTGCCCCACAAATTTCTCCTTTCACTTTTTCCCCTTCTGTATCTGTTGCCATTCCAAGCTCTGAGAGTGTACCTTGGGGTGTAAAGGAGGAGGACACTTTATTTGAGCACTTTATTTGAACTCTGCTGCTCCAGCAGGAGATATGTAACCCTTTGTGCCCTGCTCCCTCCCTGCAGGGGCTGTGCTGAGCTGGGGAAGCGGCTCTGGGGTGCCATGGTGGGAGCTCCGGTGGGATCGGGGTCTGTGAGCAGAGCTGGAAGGGAACGTGACACCCAGCTTCAGTGCCCCTGAGCACAGCCTGGCTCAGCCCCTTGCTATGAGTCTCTCTCACTCTCACAAAGGGACTCCTTTGCCTTCCAGCTGTGGGAGCATTGCAGGGAAACAGCCCAGCTGAGCACCCCACTGATCATTTTGCATTCAGGCAGCTCACTGGAGGGGTCCTCTTCACCCCCACAAACATCCCCCAAAAGGCACCAACTCCCTCATGGTGGTGCTGCCCAGACTCCAGTGGGTGTAGGACCCTTCCTGCGGCAGGAATTGCTTTCCCATGCTGCGAGACAGGGACAGGAGGCACCGGTGTTGGGATCACCTGACTGCTCCAGAGTGCTCGGTGTTCCCAGATCCATGGGATCAGGCCAGAGATGTGTTCCTCTGGGATTTTCCCGCAGCCACCACCAGCAGAGCCTTCCTGGGGAAGGAGTGTGAGACAGAGGAAGGGGTGCAGTCTAAATCCACAATTTCTGCCCACCCCCTCCCTGCCACACATGATTTCATAGACTGTTCCCAACTTCCTTCCTTGGTGTGATTTTCCCAATCCCTGTCTCCCAGCCTGCCAGCGTCACCAGAGTGATTCCCACCCTGTCACTGCTCTCGGAGCTTTTTTGGGCCTCACACATCCCCTGCGCAGAGGGAAGGCTCTGGTGTGGGAGTTCTGCAGCTCCACAGGAGCAGCACAGCCTGTCAGGCATTTTCCTAACAAACCAGTCCATTTTTAACTCCTTTGCTGCCTCTGAGAATCAGATGGGCTTTTTTAGGGACATTTCTGCCCTGATCCCCAGAGGTTTCCTGGGAGCAGTATTAATATTATGCTGTGCACTTTTGGTGGGTTTTTCTCATGTTGTTTCCACCCRGAATTTTGTGATCCCATTATGAGTSCAAGTACTTGTCGGCAGAAGATTTTTCTCTGTCTTTTCAGAGCCTACTTTAATATTGAAAAGCTTCATAACCTCATCAACTTAATGGTTGCACTCAAGGATCTCAGAGGTCTCCCGATCTTAATGATCCTTTGATTCCATGAATTCCTGGAAGCTGGTACACGTGGTGGTTTTAGGGAATGTGGTGCCTTATGTATAGCACACAAGACAAGGAAAGACCACTTAGGAATATTCCCTGAATCTGAAACGCCTCAGATCTCTCCCAACTTGTTGCAGGATGCTAAGGATGACAGTGGCAGCATTTTTACAGCGCTCATGGTTCTTGTGATGCTGTTCCTGACTGCAACACAGAACCCAGCGATGGCAAATTGGATGCTGAGAGCCTGGGACACCTGGCAGGATTCAGGGACTGTGGAGGGACGTGTGGCCACTGTGCCTGGGAGAGATCTGAGAGCTCTCTGAGTGTCCCTGAAGGGCCTCAGCCAGCAACGGCAGCCAGACCTGAGATGAGATTTGCAGGCAGATGGGGAGTGATGTGGGGAATCTCTCTCAGGCTCATCCCTAGGGCAGCCAGGGCACGGAGCAGAGACATCCCCTCTGGGACARGCAGCCCGTTTCTGTGCTGATGGAATTCCTCAGATGAGCCTGGCACAGGGTGGATGCTCACCACTGTGGCCCACCTGTGGCTGAGGGGATCTTGTGGGGGCCCCCCACATTCCAGCCCTGCTCTCCTCTCACAGGCAGGCAGCCCTGGCACTACTGAGGCTCGGGAGGAGGCATGTCATAGAATCACAAAATCCCAGGATGGTTTAGGTGGGTAGGGATCTTAAAGCTCACCCTGTTCCAACCCTGTCATGGGCAGGGACACCTTTCACTGTCCCAGGTTGCTCTGAGCCCCATCCAGCCTGACCTTGGACATTTCCAGACATGGGGCAGCCACAGCTTCTCTGTGCCTTCCACACAGGCTAGAATGGCAGGGAATGGGGAACACAGTGCATCACAGCCAGGCTGCAGCTCCAGCCTCCCCGTGGACACCCTGGCTCTGTGAGTTTGGGGGACAACCTGCAGGTCTGATCCCTCTTCCAGCAAACACCTGGACCTGTGCTCTGCCAGAGACTCAAGTCCTGAAGGGTAGCTTGGTGGGTGTCTGCTGGCAGAAATGGTGACCTGGGACATTTAGGGTGTATTTATGTGGCAGTGGGAGATGCCAAAGCAGCATCCAATGCTCCATTGCTCCAGTGGCCACTTCCCATGGGCACAGAAGCACAGAGGGATGTGGGCCACTGGTGCAAGGTGGACGCAGATTTTATCACTTGGAGAGGGGTCTTGTTTGCCTTTAAGTTGGTGCCTCCTGCTCTTCCTCCTCCACCCAGCATGAGCAAGGGATTGGAATATCCCACAAAACCCTCTCCCTCTGCTCCAACCCCTGGGTATGATCCCTCCWGGCTGTTGGGGCCTGAGTGATGTTGCCTCAGGCCAAGTCTTTCCTTGACTGTGGAGCAGGAGCATCACTTGGACTGAGTAGGCTGGAGCAGAGGGTCCTCCACTTCCCAGCTCCCACAGGAACAGCAGGAAATCACCTAAAATAGATTTGCTGGTGGAAAATCCCCCACTCCCCTCTCACATCCTTCCTCCCTGCTTGGCAGGACCCCCGACCTGTGATCCCCCCAGCCAGGCTCAGCGGGGTCCCCCAGACCAGCCYAAACTTCCCTCTCACAGCCGTGCTTGGGGAAGATGAAACAAGTTCAAAGGGAGGGGAAGCAGCCGGCCAGGGGTGTCCGGCAGGAACCAGCCTCTCAGCATCCCGGTGGAGGCTGGATGCCGGAGGAGACAGTGATGGGTGGATGTTTGGGGGGATGGTGCTGGGGGAATGTTTGAGGAGGATGGCGCTGGGAGGATGTTTGGGGGAGGATGGTGTCAGAGGGATATTTGGGGGATGGTGCTGGGGAGATGTTTGGGGGGGATGCAGCTCCTTCAGCACCAGCCTCTGCTGCCTCAGGGACCCCTTCTCTGCTCTGAGATGTGCATTGGGTTTTTTTGGAAAGGACCATGGCAAAAAGAGCTGCTGCCCTTGGGATGTGCCAAACCACCCCTTGGCTGGGGATGCTGGATGCATGGATGTCCAAGCCTATCTTGGAATGTTCATGGGGTCCTCACATTGTGACTTCACCTCAAATACTTTGAAACATGCCAAGAAGGGGAAACCTGCAGGAATCTGCTGTTTGCAGGTGCCTTTGTGCTGGGGTCTCTCCCTCCACAGCTGGGATCTCCACACTCTGTGCCTGGACCCCACACATTGGGGTGTTCCTCCAGTCCTGCCCTTCCCACCCTGTGGTATTCCAAGGAGCATCCCGCTGGGGAGAGTTGTATTTGGTGTTGCTGAAGGTTTGGAATGCTCCCAAGGCTGCAGAGCCATCGAAAATAGATCAGAATGGTTGGAAATCTGTAGGAAATGGGGGCAGGAGGCTGTGGTGCAGCACGGGGAGAGCCCAGGGTAAGGCAGCGTGGGGAGGTGGCTCTGTGGACAGTGCAGACATTGTCAGTGGTTCAGGGGTGCTCTGTCTGGAATGTCAGGAGAGAAACCAGCTCAGGGATGACAGGACCAACCCTCAGCTCTGGACTGCAGTGCCTGCAAGGCAGAAGGTGAGAGGGACGTGCAGGTGACCTGCGAGCTCCTGGATGTACATGGAGGTGGAAAGAGAAAGCTTCCCCCCCTGGACTCCCTGTTTTCCAGGCTTGTGACTAAGCTCTGGCTCTTCCTGGGATTGCAGCGCTCTTTCCCCTTCTCTCCAGCCCTGCCAAGGGCTGCAGGCATGGGGCCAGGTGGGGCTTGGCCACGGGAAGCCTGGGAAGTCTGATTGTTCTCAGCCAGCTCTATTGTGGAGCAGGACACAGGTCTGAGGTGGCTTTTCCCCATTCCAGGTGTCCCAGAGAAGCTGGAAAGGTTCAAGGCCAGGCTGGACAGGGCTTGGAACAACCACACATAGTGGAAGGTGTCCCTGGCTATGAGTGGAATCAGATGAGCTTTAAGGTCTCTTCCAACCCAAACCATTCCATGATTCCATGGTTCCTCCACCAAGTGTTCATGGAGGGTCTTGGCAGGAGAGCAGTGGGCACCTGCTCCATGAGAGGGGCAAGGAGAAGGAGGATTGGGATGGTTTGGCCCAAATTCCCCGCTCCCAAAACACCTAAGGGCATGTGGGACATCAGTCTAGCACTCCCAACACTGAGTGCCAGGAAACCTTCCTGTCCAGCCAGGCCAGTGAATAAATCAAGCCGTGGCTCTTCCAAGGCCTGTTTTAAATTCAGAGGAATTTCAAAAGAGTCCGGGTGACTCAGAGCTCTCACACCTGGGAGCTCATCTATTTG